TCAAAGGTTTTTCTTTTTTTTTTTTTTTTAGATTAATATCATAGAATCTTCCAGGTTGGAAGGGACCTTTAAGATCATTGAGTGCAACCATTACCTAACACTGGGCACGTCCACCACTGAAGCATGTCCCTAAGCACTACATCTACGCAACTTTTAAATACCTCCAGGGATGGCGATTCCACCGCTTCCCTGGGCAGCCTGTTCCAATTAAAATTCAAGAAGGGCAAGTGTAGGGTAGTGCATCTGGGGAGGAATAACCCCATGCACCAGTACGGGTTAGGGGCTGACCTGCTGGAGAGCGGCTCTGTGGGAAGGGACCTGGGAGTCATGGTGGACAACAGGATGACTATGACGCAGCAGTGTGAGGGCCGTACTGGTCTGGGAAGTTGTGTGTTAAGCAGAGCCCCAGGGAGACAGATCGCTTCCCGAAAAGACAGGTGTGGTGAGCAGAGGAGGGGAGTAGCGAACGAATTCTTTTGCTTTGCTTCGGCGTGTAGCTCTTGCTTTACCTACTGAACTGTCCTGTCTCAGGTGAAGCCCCAAGTTTTCCCCCTTTTACCCTTCCGCTTCTCTCCGCCATCCCCCCTTTGGGGCCAAGTGATTGAGCAGCTGTGTGATGCCAAGCTGCCCCCCGGGATTACCCCAGGAGCCCTGGGAAGCCAAAGGCCAGTGAATCCTGAAAGCCGAAGCCCACTGCAGCAGCTCTTGTGCAAAATGCTGTCTGGCTGTGTGGCGGCTGAGCTGTCAGCAGCCTGTGCCTGCGTTGCCCAACAAAGTGATGCCCCGACACTGAGTCACAGCGTCTGTTCTGTGTGTTAAACAAGTGGTTTATTGACATTTTTGTACAGGGAACGGGGTCAGGAGGAGGGAGGGCGGGAGCTGTCCAGGGGGTAACGGGAGTCTCCGCTGCTGGTACCAGTGGCCTCTGCGTAGTCGGTGTGCAGGAGGGTGTAGGAGTCACCTTGCTTCACGCCAAACATCATGTCAATCAGGATAATGCTACCGGAATCGTGCGTCAGCCGGAGCTTGCATGAATGCCTGGAGGGCAGCACCGTTAGGCGGCAGCATTTGGACTGAGGCAACATGGGCCAGGCTTCTTTCACCACTGCTTGCAACCAGCAGGCGGTTTTGTCGATGTCTAGGTAGGGTCCAGTGCAGAGGGTGTGTAGGAGGCTGGGACCCTGTTGTTTCCTCAGCTCCGCCTGGGGGTGGTGGAGGAAGCACAGCACATCGTCCTCCAGCGGCTCCCTTCTGCAGGTGCACTGCAGCTCCACGCAGAGTCTGGAGTTCGTTGCCGGCATGTCCTTGGCGGCGGTGCCCAGCTCCACCTGGAAGGTGTGCCCGCGAGGGGGCTTCAGGGGCACGAGCAGGTGGTAGATGGCATCCTCCTCATCGCGACTCCAACATCCTAAGGTGCTGCTCAGCCCGATGACTGGCTTCAGTCGCGGCATGAAACTGTTGCTGGAGAGCTTTCCACAGATGCGGAGAAGTTCATCCATCAGCTCCTCCACCATGGTGAAGGAGTTGGAGAGGTCCAGGAGGCGTTCGGCTGAAACAGCGCGTGCATGCTGGGCAAGCCGGGGCTTTTCTTCTTGCTGCTTCCTGCCCTCCTCGCTGCTGCTGGCTGGCCGGCGGCTCCTTTCTCTGAGCCACCAGCAGAACCCAAAAAGCAGAACCAGGAGTGCAGGGACCGCCCAGAGCTGGCACCAGTGACAGGCAGCAAAGAGTCGTGTTCCCCAGGCAGAGTCGCTCTGGTCCACCTCGTGCAGCAGACGACTCATCTGCTGGCTGAGGAACTCCGCACGCTTCTGCATGCGCTGGTGCGTCTCCTCGTCCAGCTCACCACTGAGGGTCTGCTGGCGCTGGATGATGCTCTGCAGAGCCAGGGCGAGCAACACTATGGCAATCATGGTCTGCAAGAGGAAGGAGAGAAGGGGATCAGTGTTGGCGGCGACGGCACCGTGCCCGGCCCAAGGCGCTGCCGCCAGCGGCGGGGCCCTCGATGCCGGGTGAGAACCCACCACCCCCCGGGGGCGCGCGTTTCTGCCCCGGCCCTTGTCCAGCCCAGCCTCCCCCCGCCTGCGTACTCACCTCTGGCCCAAGCCGTGCTGGGGCAGCGCTGCCTGATGGCGCCCTTTATAGCCGCCCCCATTGTGAC